AAGACACATAGGTGTCTTTGTGGCACAAACCTATCAACCAACATATATATATATATAAGATAGAGAGAGAGAGAGCTTGCCTTTCTGTACAAGCAGTGTCCAGGGCATTCTGGAGAAAGTATCTACTTATCACAGACTCAGTGCAGGGACTGTAAGGTCAGCGGACACTTGTCTCCAGACAGACTCGATCTTCTCTTTTGTTAAAAATTTAGCAGCGTGAGTGTCTGCAGCAGCGATAAAACACATCTATCTGCAAAGTGTTCAAAGGCGCTTGTCTAATGTTTCCAAAGTAACTGCTTATGCAGTTTACAAGGGCATCGTCAAAGCCAAGGTTCTGCGATAAACCTAATCATAACCATCAGCCGTATCTAGATTGATCTGTTTGCGGTTGTGTTTTGCTTTTCTCTAGCTTTTGGGTTTTTTTTAAACTTGTCCTGCCATATCAGGAATCAGAGGAGTCTTACAAGGTTTTTAGCCTTCTCTGCCAAAGAGTGCTGCTGTCTTACTAAACTAGAACTCCCATTATCCCATGGTAAATAAAGTGGTGTCAAACTACATTAATTGCAATATGTAGAGGTTGAGACCAACCCTGAGAACTCCTAATTCAAATCAGACCCTACTATTTACCCTTAGCATTAAAAGAGACTCTCATTACCCTCATTTGCTATTATAGAATCATAGAGTTGGAAGAGACCTCGTGGGTTATCCAGTCCAACCCCCTGCCAAGAAGCAGGAATCACATTCAAAGCACTCCTGACAGATGGCCATCCAGACTCTGTTTAAAAGCAGAGAAGGAGCCTCCACTATACCCCGGGGCAGAGAGTTCCACTGCTGAACAGCTCTCACATTTAGGAAGGATCCCCCGGTGGCACAATGGGTTAAACCCTTGTGCCGGCAGGACTGAAGACCGACAGATCGCAGATTCAAATCCAGGGAGAGCGTGGATGAGCTCCCTCTGTCAGCTCTGGCTCCCCATGCGGGGACGCGAGAGAAGCCTCCCACAAGGATGGTAAAACATCAAAACATCCTGGTGACCCCTGGGCAACATCCTTGCAGCTATGTTCTTTCTCAGCCATATTGTTGTTGATGTTGCTTACAAATGTGATTGTTTTCATATTTTATCTGATGTTTTTAATTGATTGTGTTCTATTTGTAATTTTTGGGCTTGTCTGTTGTATGCCGCCCCGAGTTCCCTTGGAGAGATGGTTGGCAGGGTATAAAAATATAAATATAATAATAATAATAATAATAATAATAATAATAATAATAATAATGGATTGTTGTAGGTTTTTTCGGGCTGTATGTGCCATGGTCTAGAGGCATTCTCTCCTGACGTTTCGCCTGCATCTATGGCAAGCATCCTCAGAAGTGAAGCCCCCGGTAGCGCAGTGGGTTAAACCCCTGTGCCGGCAGGACTGAAGACCGACCGGTCGCAGGTTCAAATCCGGGGAGAGGCGGATGAGCTCCCTCTATCAGCTCCAGCTCCTCATGGGGACATGAGAGAAGCCTCCCACAAGGATGATAAAAACATCAAATCATCCGGGCGTCCCCTGGGCAACGTCCTTGCAGACGGCCAATTCTCTCACACCAGGAGTCATTCCTGACACGACAAAAAAAAACTCAGAGGTAGTACCTCACTACCTCTGAGGATGCTTGCCATAGATGCAGGCGAAACGTCAGGAGAATGCCTCTAGAACATGGCCATATAGCCCAAAAAAACACAAGAACTGAGTGATTCCAGCCATGAAAGCCTTCGACAATACAATTTTATTAGTGTTTATTATAATCCGCTCTCACACCAGAAGCGACTTGCAGTTTCTCAAGACGCTCCTTAAGCCGCTCCTCATAGGGTTTGTTCTCCAGACCCTTGATTATTTTAGCCGTCCTCCTCTGGACACATTCCAACTTGTCAATATCTTTAATGCATTTATTAATGGCATCCAGTACTAACCTCATTTTAAGGACTTACATTCCTTTCATTCCTAAAATTCAGGAATTTCACACAAAATCCAATTATAAAAACACACATTTTTGTTTTGCCCTATCACTCTGGAGATTAACACCTTCGTAAATGATAAGTCACAAAAACACTTTGCTGTCAAATGACTCTGAATGGACCATACTGGCATAAACTGCATGTAAAATAACCCCAAATTATTCTCTCCCTCTTTCTCAATCTGGACCAAAGAAGCCGATGATTATCGCTTTGCCATCTCTTTTATCCGGTAAACTGAACCGCTTCGGGGCATTTTTTATTCCTGAAGAGGAGGGCATAAATCTTTAAAATAGATACGCATAAATAAACGGTGTGATTCCCTTTTCAAGAGTGGCAGATCAGGCCCAGCTTTGCATTTAAAAATCAGGCAATTTGCATCTCAACTCAGTTCAATGGAGCTCGCCCCTAAAGATTTCCAGTCTTGGGGTACATCTTTTTTTGACCAGGTGACAGCAGGATTGCAGAGAAACAACTGGAAAAGCTGACACGATATGAGAATTTTAAAATCGAACTGCAAAGACTCTGGCACAAGCCAGTAAAGGTGGTCCCAGTGGTGATCGGCACACTGGGTGCAGTGCCTAAAGACCTTGGCCTGCACTTAAAAACAATCGGTGCTGACAAAATTGCCATCTGCCAGCTGCAAAAGGCCACCCTACTCGGATCCCCATACATTATTCACCAATACACCACACAGTCCTAGATACTTGGGAAGTGTCCGACGTGTGATCATAGTGCATCATAGTGATCTTGTTCAGAGTGTACTGATGTTCTTGTGTATCAAATTATTATTATTATTATTATTATTATTATTATTATTATTATTTTCGGGTTGTATGGCCATGTTCAAGAAGCATTCTTTCCTACAGTTTGTGGTCTACAGTTGGCCTGTAGATTGGTCTACAGTTTGTGGCCACTGATTTGACTACAGTTAAGATCGTCTGGAGAGGTCCTGCTCTCGGTCCCACCCCCTTCGCAGATGCGATTGGCGGTTGACAAGAGACAGGGCCTTCTCAGCTATGGCCCCTTGGCTATGGAACACCCTCCCTAGGGATATTAGATGGGCCCCCTCCCTCCTAACATTTTGAAAGAGAGTCAAAACCTGGTTGTTTGAGCAGGCATTTGCAGACTCATTGAGATCCACAGAACGATTGGACGATGCTACAGAAAAATGATTTTAGTGATGAGATGCTGAGGACTTGTGTTTTATGGCTTTTATTGTTTTATTTCTTTTATGTGGTTTATATTATATGTAATGTTTTGGGACCCGCCTACCTTCATGACCACATCTCTGTATACGAACCCACACGATCTCTTTGATCATCTGGAGAGGCCCTGCTCACGCTCCCACCTCCTTCGCAGGCGCGATTGGTGGGAACGAAGGAGAGGGCCTTCTCAGTGGTGGCCCCCCAACTCTGGAACTCACTTCCTAAGGACATCAGGCATGCCCCAACTCTAGCAGTCTTTAGGAGGAGCTTGAAGACGTGGTTGTTCCAGTGTGCCTTCCCAGAATAATGATCCCATAGCACTTTGTCCTTCAAAGCACTTTATATTGTTTTAGGTCTGCTTGTATGTTTCCACAAACCGCCCCATCAGTTTTTCGCACATGTCCAGCACTATTTTTAAATTTTAATTACATTTGGCCTACCCACAGATTTTAAAGTGTGTTGTCCTATTGTCAATGCTTATGTTATTGTTTTATTTAGTGGTGCAATACCGGCTAAGCTGTGTAATTTCTCCAGTGGTGTAGGGCGCAGACACCCCGTGATAATGCGGCATGTCTCATTAAGAGCCACATCCACTGTTTTAGAGTGGTGAGATGTGTTCCACACTGGGCATGCATACTCAGCAGCAGAGTAGCACAGCGCAAGGGCAGATGTCTTCAATGTATCTGGTTGTGATCCCCAGGTTGTGCCAGACAGCTTTCGTATGATATTGCTTCTGGCACCCACTTTTTGCTTGATGTTCAGGCAATGCTTCTTGTAGGTCAGAGCACGGTCCAAAGTGACTCCCAGGTATTTGGGTGCGCTGCAATGCTCCAGTGGGATTCCTTCCCAGGTGATCCTCAGAGCTCGGGATGCTTGTCTGTTCTTAAGGTGAAAGGCGCATGTCTGTGTTTTAGATGGATTAGGGATCAGTTGGTTTTGCCTGTAATAGGCAGTAAGAGCACCTAGAGCCTCGGAGAGCTTCTGTTCAACCATCTCAAAGCTCCCTGCTTGAGTGGTAATGGCATGATCATCAGCATAGATGAAACTCTCTTTCCCTTCTGACAGTGGCTTGTCATTTGTGTAGATGTTGAACATGGATGGAGCAAGCACGCTCCCCTGAGGCAGGCCGTTCTTCTGTTTCCGCCATCTGCTTCTCTGGCTCTGGAACTCAACAAAGAAGCTCCTGTTTTGTAGCAGGCTTCCTATGAGGCGGGTGAGGTGGTCGTCCTTTGTGATATTATACATTTTTCTCAGGAGGAGGCGGTGGTTCACAGTATCATAGGCTGCTGACAAGTCTATGAAGGCAGCTCCTGTGATCTGCTGCCTTTCAAAGCCATCTCCTATGTGCTGAGTCAGGTTGATGTATTGATGTATTGTGGGCTTGGCCTCATGTAAGCCGCACTGAGTCCCTTGGGAGATGGTAGCGGGATACAAATAAAGTTTATTATTAGAGTTACACTTAAGAAAAGTACTCGATCCGACTTACGTACAGATGCAACTGTCAGAACGGCTGGCGTTCGTAACTGGGGCCCGCCTGTAGTATCCCAAGGAAGGCCTCTTTCCATCTCAATGAAGGAGCTTGGGCTGAGGCCCGCGCATGCGCACAAGTGCGGCGTCGCTCTCTGGCTGTCTCCCTTCGTGCTTCGCGCAGGCAGCGCCCTCTAGCGGCCTTCCCTCTCTTTTCTCCTGAGGGAAAGAAAGGCGTGCGTGAGGCGGGGGCCTCCCTCTTCATTCTCGACGCCGCCGCCGGCAGAGAAGGAGCCGAGGCGGGAGACCGGAGACCCCTCTCTCCTCCTCCTCGCAACTTCCCTCGGAGAGAGCGCGGGTCTCGGCGCCGCGATGGAAGGGCGGCCGGGCGGGAGGCGCGGAGCAGGGCGAAGAGAGGCGGCGGCGGCGGCACCCGACGGCGAGGAAGTGGAGAGGATCCCCCCGCGCTGAGGAGTGGTCTCGCCCTCTCTCTCTTTCTTTCTCTCTCTCTCTCTCGGCCGCGGGAAGAGACCACTTGAGCGGGACGGGGGGAGCCCGAGGAGGAGGAGGAGGAAGAGGGAAAGATGGCTCTGGAGCAGGTCTACTCTGTGCTGGAAGGTGAGCAGGGAGGGAGGGAGGGAGGGAGGAACCTCTGATTGGCAGCTTTTAGTTACCCACTGGTGGTTCCATTGATTGATTGATTGACTGATCAACAGTTTGTGGCTATCCATTGATCAATTGGTCAACACTTTGTGGCAATTGATTGATTGATTGATTGATTGATCTACAGTGTAGTAATTCCTTGGCTGATTGATCAACAGTTTGTATTTTTGATCGATCTATAGTTTGTGGCCATTGATTGATCAGCTGATTAATTGATCTATAGTCTGTACCCATTGATTGATCCATAGTTTGTAGCTATTGATTGATCGATTGATCTACAATGTGTAGCTGTCCATTGATTGATCAATCTATAGTTTGTGGCCATTGATTGATCAATTGATCTGCACTCTGTACCCATTTGATTGATCCATAGTTTGTAGCTGTCCATTGATTGATCAATCTATAGTTTGTGGTCATTGGCTGATCAATTGATCTTCACTCTGTACCCATTTGATTGATCCATAGTTTGTAGCTATTGATTGATCGATTGATCTACAATTTGTAGCTGTCCATTGATTGATCGATCTATAGTTTGTGGCCATTGACTGACAATTTATAGCTGTCCATTGATCGATCTATATTTTTTGGCCATTGATTGATCAATTGATCTGCACTCTGTACCCATTTGATTGATCTATACTAGCTATTGATTGATCGATTGATCTACAATTTATAGCTGTCCATTGATCGATCGATTGATAGTTTGTGGCCATTGATTGACAATGTATAGCTGTCCATTGATCGATCTATAGTTTGTGGCCATTGACTGATCAATTGATCTGCACTCTGTACCCATTTGATTGATCTATAGTTTGTAGCTATTGATTGATCGATTGATCTACAATTTGTAGCTGTCCATTGATTGATCAATCTATAGTTTGTGGCCATTGATTGATCAGTTGATCTGCACTCTGTACCCATTTGATTTTGTAGCCATTGATTGATCAATTGATCTACAATTTGTAGCTGTCCATTGATTGATTGATCTATAGTTTGTGGCCACTGATTGATCAATTGATCTGCAGTCTATACCCATTTGATTGATCCATAGTTTGTAGCCATTGATTGATTGATTGATCTACAATTTGTAGCTGTCCACTGATTGATGTATAGTTGTGGCAATCAATTGATCTGCAGTCTGTACTCATTGATTGATTGATTGATTGATCTATAGTTTGTGGCAATGGGTTGATCAAGTGTAGCTATCCACTGATCGATTGGTCAACAGTTTGTGGCCATTGATTGATTGGATCTGTAATTTGCAGCAAAACATTGATTGATTGATTGATTGATTGATCTACAGTTTGTGGTCATTGATTATTGATGTATAGTTTGTAGCAGTTGATTGATCCATTGATCTCCAATGTAGCTATCCATTGATCAATTGGTCAACAGTTTGGCAATCGATTGATCTATAGCTTGTGGCAATTGATTGATTGATCGATTGATCAATAATTTGTGGTAATTGATTGGTCAGCAGTTGATTGACTGAGCTATGGTTTGTGGTGATTGATCAATCTACAGTTTGTTGCAATTGATTGATTGTTTAGTCAACCATTTGTGGCCATTGGTTGATCTATAATTTGTGGCAATTCATTGATTGATTGGGTAATAGTTTGTAGCAATTCATTGATTGATCTATAATTTGTGGCAATTTGTCTATTGATTGGGTAATAACTTGTCGCAATTGATTGATCTATTATTTGTGGTAATTGATTGATTGATCTTCAGTTATAGCAATTCATTGATTGATTGAGCAGTAGTTTGTGTGATATATATATGCCATAAATAAATAAATATTAGTCCGTAGCAATTCACTGATTGATGGATTGATTTGCCTATAGTTTGTAGCGATCCATTGATGGATTGGTCTACAATTTGTGGCGATTGATTGATTGATTGATTGGTCAGTCTACAGATTGTCCTGCCTTTCTTCCAGGGGGTATCCCAGACCTCACTACAAACAGTGGGATAAAAGTACCCTATAGTAGACATTAATACAGGTGGAATGTAGTAAAGGCTTTGGATTAGAAGAAGTGTTTGGGATTTCCAGGGTTTTCTTTCCTCCCCAGTTTTCGAAATATTGGCATTTACACAATGAGATAACAGGGAGAGTCTAAAACACTCCCTTCGTTGAAATTTCATAGATGTTATATCATTGTAGGGGATTTAATATATTATAATATATATTGTATATACATATAATATTTATAATATTATAATGTAATGCAATATAATATTAATAATAATAAGATATTACAATTATATATTTATATTACATGTAGTATTACGAATAATATTACAATATAATGGTATAGTACAATAAACTAATATATAATATTGATATTCTACTATGCTAATAGTATAATATATTGTATGTATATATATCTTGTAAGCCACTCTGAATCCCCTTCGGGGTGAGAAGGGTGGCATATAAACTTTGTAAATAAATAAATAAATTTTACACTGTGCATGTTGAATCATTCTGTCCACGAAAGAAAGTATGCGTGCATAGAAAGACCCAAAGGTAAAGGTGTCATTGGTTGATTGATTGATTTAAAGTTTGTCTTGCCTTCCTGCCAAACACAATGCAGCCCCCCAGGATGTTTACTAGTCCTAACTGCAAATAGGCAACAAAAGCATCCTATAATAACATCAATACAGGCGGAGGCCCCGGTAGCACAGTGGGTTAAACCCTTGTGCCGGCAGGACTGAAGACCGACAGGTCGGAGGTTCAAATTCAGGGAGAGTGCAGATGAGCTCCCCCTGTCAGCTCCAGCTCCCCATGCAGGGACATGAGAGAAGCCTTCCACAAAGATGGTGAAACATCTGGGTGTCCCCAGGGCAATGTTCTTGCAGACAGCCAATTATCTTACACCAGAAGCGACTTGCAATTTCTTAAGTTGCTCCTGACCCGAGGAAAAAAGGTGGAGTATGCTTGATACATACTGTATTTTGTCGGAGATGAGCTTATACAATGTATATCGAATAATTCTGCCCATGAAGGAAGGTTTGTATATAGAGACTCATCTGGTATTTCCCGGTAAGGAAATTCCAAATGGATATCTATATAAACAAACTGTAGAAACAATGTATTGTTAAAGGCTTTCATGGTTGTAATCACTACCTCTGAGGATGCTTGCCATAGATGCAGGCGAAACGTCAGGAGAGAATGCCTCTAGAACATGGTTGTATAGCCCGAAAAAAACCTACAACAACCCACTGTAGAAACAATATTTATTTATTTGTTCTTGTGTGGTTTGTCCCACCTTTCCACCAACAGTAAAGGATAATAAGTAATGTGGGTGTCTCTTTTCTAGTCATCAGAACTGCTCCAAAATTGTCCACATAGTTATCCGGGATGCTGGCACCTTTGCTTTGGATGGTTCAGTGTACACAAACTTCGTTTCATGCAAAAAGCTGTTGAAAATATTATGCATAGAATTACCTTCCGGTATAGCTGAAGCCAAGATGAATTTTGTGTTTAGACTTGGGTTCCCTCTCCAAGTCCATTGTTGATATGCAGATGCTCCAAAATCTGAAATAGTCCAAAACACCTGGCTTTTTGGATGATCTGTAATGCTAAAGGCATAGAAATGTGTGTAAGATAGCATGATCCTCATATAATCTCTTCCTGTAATCAGGGCTGTTTGTGGTTGTTCCTCGTAGCCAGCATCGTATATTTTGGCTTTTAAAAAAATCAGTTTCTAAATGTATAAGCAAGAAAGAGAGGGGTGATGGTGCATCTACACTGTGGAATGAATGCAGTTGGACACCACTCCCATGGCTCTATGCTGTGCAATCATGGGAGTTTGTTTATTTATTTATTTATTATTTACTTTGCTTATATACCGCTGTATCTCAAGCCCGAAGGCGACTCACACCGGTTCACAAACAGTAAAAACAGTAGAAACAGCAGTGGTTCCATACAACATATAACAATTGACTTAACACATTATCCATAAATTACCAATAAGCAGTTACAATGCACAATTATTACAAAAAACAACCGTACCCAATCTTCTCATCATCCAAGCGTAGTCCAGGTTCGTCGTCCATTGTTCCATTCCTATGTTCCATTACCAGATTGCACTAAATTACTCAAACACCTGCACAAACATCCAGGTCTTCACCTTTTTGCGGAATACCATTAGAGATGGTGCTAGTCTAATGTCCGTAGGAAGGGCGTTCCACAGCCGAGGAGCCACCACCGAGAAGGCCCTATCTCTCGTCCCCGCCAGCCGAGCTTGAGAAGCAGGCGGGATCGAGAGCAGGGCCTCCCCGGAAGATCTCAAAGTCCTGGTGGGTTCATAGGCAGAGATGCGGTCAGATAGGTAGCTTGGGCCAGAACCGTTTAGGGCTTTAAAGGCCAACGCCAGCACTTTGAATTCAGCCCGGTAGCAGATCGGTAGCCAGTGGAGTTGGCGCAACAGGGGGGTTGTATGCTCCCTGCGCTCCGCTCCTGTTAAAATCATGGCTGCCGAGCGTTGGACTAGTTGGAGCTTCCGAGCTGTCTTCAAAGGCAACCCCACATAGAGAGCGTTGCAGTAGTCTAAACGAGAGGAAAGAACGAGAGGAAAGTAGTTGTGGTGTTACAAGGTCTTCCACCCTCTTCCAATAAGTGCTGGTGCCTCACCAAACTGCAACTCCTTGTTGTCTGTAGCATAGAGCCATGGTAATAGTATAATATAATATATTGTATATACATATAATATTTATAATATTATAATGCAATACGACATAATATAATACTAATAATTATATATTTTATATTACATGGAATATTACGAATAATATTACAGTATAATGGTATAGTACAATATACTAATATATAATACTAATATTGTACTATGCTAATAATATAATATATTGTATTGTATGTGTATATATCTTGTAAGCTGCTCTGAGTCGCCTTCAGGGTGAGAAGGGCAGCATATAAATGTCATAAATAAATT